CATTACTCACAAGCAAAGTTGGCTTTTCAGCCGGGCACAGTGGCTCACACCTGTGATCGAGACCAACCTGGCCAATGTGGCAAAACTCCATCTCTACTAAAAATACAAAAATTAGCCAGGTGTGGTGGCACATGCCTGTAATCCCAGCTACTCGGGAGGCTGAGGCAGGAGAATTACTGGAACCCGGGAGGCGGAGGTTGCAGTGAGCTGAGATCGCTCCACTGGCTGGCTTTTCAGGCGGCTGATGCTCTTCCGCTCCATGCCCGGAATCCCTCCTGAGAGTTCTGGTGCTTTTCTCCCCTGCTCTAGTCCAGGCCCTCATCATTTTCCATCAAATCCAAACTACTGTTCTAGCAAGCAAAGCCTCTCATGAACCTGCCCGAGCCAGCTCACTGACTCAGTCAGACTCTCTGAAGCTTAATTGTTTTTGGGTTTTAAAGATATTATTTTAGGCTGGGTGTGGTGGCTCACTCCTGTAATCCCAGCACTTCGGGAGGCTGTGGTGGGCGGATCACCTGGAGTCAGGAATTCGTGACCAGCTGGACCAACATGGCGAAACCCTGTCTCTACTAAAAATATAAAAATTAGCCAGGCGTGGTGTCAGGCACCTGTAAGCCCAGCTGCTTGGGATGCTGAGGCAGCAGAATTGCTTGGACCCGGGAAGCAGGGGTTGCAGTGAGCTGAGATCGCACCACTGCACTCCAGTTTGGGTGATGGAGCAAGATGTTCTCAAAACAAACAAACAATCAATCAATCAATCAATCAGAGACTGCACATGGCTGGAGCATGAGCCTCTTGCAGACCATGATGAGGAGTTTGGATTTTATTCTCAGGTCATTGAGAAACCATCTTGGAACAATTAGAAATAACTTTAAGATCTCAAAAAAAAAGATATTATTTTAATAAAATCTAATGGATTAGAGATGTGGTCTGCCGATGTTGTCCAGGTTCGTTTCAAACTCCCAGACTCAAGTGGTCATCCCAGCTTGGCCTCCCAAAGTGCTGGGATTATGGGTGGAAGCCACTGTGCCTGGCTGTCTCTGGGCTTAGAGAGGCTAACAGACTCGCCCACGGTCACACGGCTAAGACATGTCACAGAAGGGGCTTGACTACAAAGAAAGAGAGGAGCAATTCTTAGTTAAAACCTCACAATGTATAACGATCAATATAAAAACATAATGAAAACTTTCATTGATGTAGTACGGCATGAAAATGTGGCCTTTTGTACCATGAAAATACATGTACCGTAGCGTGGGCATGTGTACATTTTGTGGCTGGGTGCTGAGGGCCTGGGGCACAGGCTGGCTCTGTCTGTGAAGGAAATACTTCTTTCTCAGGCGGCTCAAAGGCAGGGCTGAGAGGCTGGGCTGCAGTCAGAAAGCTGGCCGAGGGGGAACACGAGTAACCCCAGGTCACTTCCTCCACGGGACCCCTCGGGCCAGCCCAGGCCACAGCCACTGTCCACACTAGCACCGAATCTCAAGGGCAGTGCTCAGCCTACCTCCTCTAGGGGCTGGACCTTTGGTGAATGGTGTGGCTCCCCCGCAGAGGCAGAACCCCATGCCAGCATTCCCGTGGGACCACCCAAAAACCCTGTCCCAGCCCTCTCCACTCCATGGACCTTCGGAGGCAGAGCGGGTGGGTGAGGAGCAGACAGCCCTGGGGTGCCACATGGCCAGGTCCCCCTGGCTGGCTGCTGTGTCTGATGGTCACTGTTCAGGCCAGCCCAGCAGGGGGAGGCCTCAAACACCTGTGCTGGGGGAGCAGTGGGGTCCTAGGGGAGAGACCAGGAGAGAAACTAAAGCTCTCCAAGCCCTCGGCTGCCCGGGCCCCAAAGGCCTACACACGGCATCGGAACTGGCCCCAGAAGAAGGGCTTGGTGGAGGCTGAAATGTCAGCCTCTGATGGTGATGGCCCTTCAGGGTCACCAAAAGGAAGTGTCCACCCTGGGGGAGCACTGAGGGGAACTGACTAGAGACGGCACAAAATCCCAGCTTTGAAAGAATTGAGATGGAAGACCCTGAGAATACCTGGGCACCCTACGAGGATTTTCACCTCCCAGAAAGCAGGTCTGGGGGTCAGGCTGGGCACCGACTGGACCAGCGGCGTGCAGGGCACCAGCTCTGGGCCCAGACATCACAAGTTCAAACTCCAGCTCCACAACTTTCTGGGTGGGCAAGCAAATTAACCCCTCAGTGACTCAGTTTCCTCATCTGTAAAACAGGAACAATGACCAGACCCTCTCCACCGGCTGGGGGGTGACGTGACTGCAGCGTTGGCCCCAACTCCAGCTCTGATGATCATCATTCTAGAAGGGCCCCTCCAGCTCACACTCTCATGCAGCCACAGAGGCCTGGAAGGTCCGAACACACATGTGCACACGCTCGGCTGCACCGCCTCCCCTAGACAAAGCCCTTGTGGGGCCAAGATCAACACACCGAGGTTGGTGAATGACTCACCCACCCCTGGCCAGGACACGCTTCCTGGAACAAGTCACCACAGGTAGGTCTAGGGGGCTCTCCAAGGCTTAGCAAGGCCCGGAGTGTGGCAGAGAGGAGAGGGTGCAGTCCCGGCATGCCCCAGCTGCACCCCGGGGGGAATGCCACATCCCTGCGGCAGGAGTGGGGGGTGGACCTCAGTTTCAGAGCCCCACAGGCCTGGGTTTCAAACCCAGCAGTGACCCTGGATAGGTGATTCTCGTCTCCAAGCCTCAGTCTCTGCCTCTGTAAATGGAAACATGAGTGCCAACCTCATAGGGATGATTGTGCAAACTGCAAAAAGTATATCAAATGACAGACAGGACCCATTGTTAGGATACTCGGGTCCTAACAGGCCACAGGCAGCCAAGGTCCTGTGTCCTTTCTTCCCCTGATGTGACTTAAAAAATTTTTTTTTAAATGTTCAGAGATAGGGTCTTGTTCTGTTGTCCAGGCTGGAGTGCAGTGACATGATCATGGTTCATGGCAGCCTCAAACTCGTAGGCTCAAGTGATCTTCCTACCTCAGCCTCCTGAGCAGCTGGGACCACAGGTGCATGCCATCACACTTGGATAATTTTTTGTAGAGATGAGGTCTGGCTTTGTTGCCTAGGCTGGTCTTGAACTCAAGAAATCCTCCCACCTTGCCCCCACAAAGTGGCGGGATTATGGCCATGAGCTACCACATCTGGCCCCTAATGTGCTTTTTTTTTGAGACAGGATCTCACTCTGTCACCAGGCTGAGTGCAGTTGTGCAATCTTGGCTCACCACAACCTACACCTCCCAGGCTAGGCTCAAGCGATCTGCCCACCTGGGTAACTGAGACCACAGGCATGTGCCACCATGCCCAGCTAACTTTCCTATTTTTTGAAGAAATAGTGTTTCACTATGTTGCCCAAGCTGGTTTTGAACTCCTAGGTTCAAGTGATGCATCTGCTTTGGCCTCCCAAAGTGCTGGTATTACAGGCATGAGCCACAGTGCCTGGCCCCAACATGCTTTTAAAGTCATCAGTGGGAAAAGTCACTCAGGAATGGTCACCATAACTTGAGAGAGAGGTAGACAAAGGATGCAGCTCATGACTTCATTGTCTTTGGAAAGCAAAGAGATGGAGTTTGTCTGAAGAGGGGCAATCCCAGAGGGCTTCTCACAGGAGATGGCATTAACTTGGGCTCTGAAGGATCAGTAAGAGTTCCTAGACCATGAGATCTGGGAAGCCACTGTCCAGCTGTTACAAGCTTGGGCAAACCATTCCCCTGCAAGCATGCAGGTGAGCAGCATGTGCCTCAGGCAGGTACAATAAGGCCAGGAACCTGTGACTTGAAAGCAGATGCCCATCAGGCATTTAGAATCACACCTTTTCGAAATGTTGTCCCAGCTACTTGGGAGGCTAAGGTAGGAGGATCACTTGAGCCCGGCAGTTCCAGGCTGAGGTGAGTTAGGATCACACCCGCATTCCAGCCTGGGTGACAGAGTGAGATCCTGTCTCAAAACAAAACAAAAAGCACTCACTAAACGGGCTGTGGTGATAAAGTGGAGATAAGGTGGGGACAGGCAGGAGGAACAGTGGAGACAGCAGCAGAGGGGACACCTACAGGCAGAGCCCACGGAGCCACAAGAGGCCCTGCTAGGTGACACTTTTCCTGTGAAGGGCACATCGCCAGGGACAGGCACACCAGGCCACGTGACCTCAGATAAGACCCTTTATCTCCTTCGCTAAGCTGGCCAGGCACAGTGGCTCACACCTGTAATCCCAGCACTTTGGGAGGTCGAGGGCAGATCACTTGAAGTCAGGGCTTTGAGACCAGCTTCGCCAACATGGTGAAACTCTATTTCTACTAAAAATACAAAAATTAGCTGGGCATGGTGGCATATACCTGCAAACCCAGCCACTCAGGAGGCTGAGGTAGGAGATCACTTGAACCCAGCAGGTAGAGTTTGCGCGAGCTGAGATCACGCCGCTGCACTCCAGCTTGGGTGACAGAGTGAGACCCCATCTCAAAACAAAACAAAACAGAACAAAAGGGACATATGATCCTTCCTTCCTTTCGGGGCCGTGGAGAGGATCCCAGGATGACAGAGGAGAGATGAGGATGGGAAAGGCCTTTGCAGGCCGCAAAGAGCCACATGCCAGGGAGATGCCCGTCCCCCTGCCCCGGCTCCTCAGGTCAGCTCAAGGCTGACTCCTGCCTCAGGAGGAGGAACCTGGCCAGAATTCTGGATGTCATCCTGGTCATTGTCCCTAAGTGTGCAAGGATGGGCAGGAGGGCAGGGGCTGTTTCTGCTCACCACAGTAACCCCAGATGGCACTCAGCAAACAGTAGGCGCCCAATAAATGGTGGATGAGCACACGAACAGTCACAGCCCAGGGCTCGCGTGGGACAGGGAAACGCTGAGGTGCCCGGACCCGTTTCCTGTCTGCAGAAGTGAAATGTGCCCCCTGAACTGAGTGCTCCTCCCCACGCTGGGATCTACCGAGGGAAGGCGGAGGGGCCCTCCCCTTACTTCTGGGGCAGGATACTCACGTTCCCGAAGGAGGGGAGCCCTGCAGATCCCAGCCACCTCCGCAGGGCCTGTGGGAAGGCCCCATGGTCCCGCTCAGCCTGAAGCACATCTGCTTCCAGGAAGGCGACGTGGCGTCCAACCATCTTGACGAAGGCCTGGGAGACAGGGAGGGGCTGGGATGCCACATCTGTGCAGCCTGGAGCCCATTCCTAGCCACACTCCCTAGTGGCGACTCCAGGCCTCCCTCCAACAGGGCTTCCCGCAAGGCCAGCAGGGCCTGCTTAGCTGGAGGGGCACTGCAGCAACCCTGACGACGGTCACAGCTCCCCACTGACCCTGTTCTTAGCCTCCATGTTACAGGGGAGGGAAATCGAGGCTCACAGAGGCTGGGCACCTGCTCGAAGTCACAAAGTCAGAAAAGTGGCAGGGGCAGTCTCAGGGCACAGGCATCAGATTTCCAAGCCTTCTGTGTTAAAAGGTGACTTTTACAGAAACAGCCCAAATGCTTATTTGTACTCATCTACATTAAGGACATAAAAACGCTCATTTGAATAGCAGATGTGCTGCATGTGGGAACTCAGAAGCCACCAAGGGCCAGGCAGGAAACAAGCAGGTAAAGGGGCTTCAGGGGAACCAGGGTCAGCCAGACAGCTGAGTCCAGGCCTCAAGAGCAGAGCTGCTGGTTTCAAGAATAAAAAAGGGCACGGTGGCTCACACTTGCAACCCAGCACTTTGGGAGACCAAGGTGGGCAGATCGCCTGAGGTCAGGGGTTCAAGACCAGCTTGGCCAACGTGGTGAAACTTCATTCCCACAAAATACAAAAAGTAGACGGGCGTACTGGTGGGCACTTGTAATTTCAACTACGCGGGAGGCTGAAGCAGGAGAATCGCTTAAACCCAGGAGGCAGAGGCTGCAGTGAGCTGAGATCGCACCATTGCACTCCAGCCTGGGTGACAGAGTGAGACCCCGTCTAAAAATAATAATTAAAAAAAAATAGGCCGTGTGCAGGGGCTCAGGCCGTAATCCCAGCACTTCGGGAGGCCAAAGTGGGCCGATCACCTGAGGTCAGGAGTTCAAGACCAGCCTGGCCAACATGGTTAAATCCTGTCTCTACTAAAAATACAAAAACTGGCTGGGCGTGGTGGCAGGCACCTATAATCCCAGCTACTTGGGAGGCTGAGACAGGAGAATCACTTGAACTTGGGAGTCGGAGGTTGCAGTGAGCCGAGATGGTGCCACTGCACTCCAGCCTGGGCAACAAGAATGAAACTCCATCTCAAATATAAATAAATAAATAATATAAAAATAAATAAAAAAGAATTCTGGCTGGGCATGGTAGCTCATGCCTGTAATCTCAACACTTTGAGAGGCTGAAGCCAGGTAGGATCACTTGAGGCCAGGAATGTCTGCTTGGGCAACATAGTAAGACCCCATCTCTACCAAAAATTGAAAATTAGCCAGGCATGGTGGCATGAGCCTGTAGTTCCAGCTCCCCGGGAGGCTGAAGCAGGAGGATCACTTGAGTCCCGGGGTTCAAGGCTATAGTGAGCTCTGATCAGACTATCTGGATTAGAATCTGAATTCTACCTCTCAATAGTTGTGTGCCTTTCAGCAGGTTACTTAACTTCCATTAGCCTCAATTTCATTATCTGAAAAATGGGGATTAAAAACAGTAGGAACCTTGGCCAGGTGTAGTAGCTCTCATGCCTACAATCCCGGCACTTTGGGAGGCCAAGGCAGCTGATCACTTGAGGCCAGCAGTTTAAGACCGGCCTGATTGTCATGGCGAAACCCAGTCTCTACTAAAAATACAAAAAAAAAAAAATTAGCTGGGTGTGGTGGCGCATGCCTATAATCCCAGCCACTCAGGAGGCTGAGACACAAGAATCACTTGAACCCGGGAGGCAGAGGTTGCAGTGAGCTGAGATCATGCCATTGCATTCTAGCCTGGGTGACAGAGCAAGACTCCATCTCAAACAAACAAAAAACCACTATTCTTATTCAACAAGTAGAATGCTTAGCACATATTAAGAGCTCATCAAATCTCAGACACTGTGATTTTTTTTTTTTTTTTTTTTTTTGAGACGGAGTTTCACTCATGTT